GGTTGCTATAAATTCTGAGGTTTCTCAGTTATCGAATCTTACAGCTTAATCTGAGAAACATGAAACCGTTTAGCACACAGCACTGAAACGTACATTCGTGCGTAAATTTATGTTGTTTTCTTTTACTTGGTGCTATTTTAAAACAAAAACGACAATTTGTTACATCTTGTCTACCACGTATTACCGATATGCTAATGGGTCCTTTTGCATAGTTGATCAGTGGAGCTGTGCATTACTATAGGTGCAATCGACGCTGTATATGATATATGTTTGGGGACTTATTAATCAGCCCGTTGCGAATTAGTAGTTCACTAGTGAAAAACGGAGACAATTTGTGTGCGTACCTGCTTATGGCATCAAAACATTACGCATTCTGATCACTCAAGCCTCGATCTCCGTATCTCGGGAGAAGACCAGCCCTTTTTGGCCGTAAGTTGTAGCGTGTCTTCAACCTAAAATATATCGGTTGACGTGTCGTTTGCTGTGTGACAGTAAAAGTGTTACTCGTTTCCCCTAACGAATTTGATGGTGGTTGACATCTTACCGGACGATGTTTCAAAGAGATGCCAATAATTTGAACAAAATATGCTTCTGAATGGTACCGCTCCTCGGCTAGGATACGCAAAGCCTTTAGATTTTATGCGACAGTATGTGGGTCACAGTGTTGGCCCGACTGAAAATCGCAGCTCGGAAAAAAATTGTTAGGAACCACAGAAGCTGAAGATGGTACTTCAAAGTCTTGAGTGTACACAGTGACGGTTGGTGGTCCCCAGATGTGCGAAGTTTTAAGAATAGAACGCTAGTTTGAAGGTCGTCTCTGTAACAATACTCAAGCAGAACTTTTGAGCCTGTCCGATAGCGTATTCGTAGTGTGTGTGTAGATGGTACGTCCTACTTCAATGATGACATGCTCGTGTTCGGAGCCCGCAAAGCTCTGTCCGAATAAGCAAACAACCGTGGATGAAAAGTTGTCGAGGGAATTAGTTTGTTGAGTGCAATTTGGATTGTTTAAGCTCAGAACTTTTGTGGGAATTTCGAGATGAAGATCCATAACTTCTAAACGAACGCCAAAAGTGGTGATGACGATATTAATAGGCCATTGTGGGTAATATTAGTATAAATTTAAACTCAACCGCTACGCAAAGAATTCTCAAAGCATTTGAGCTGGAGCTTGACTTACCAACAACAAAGGACTCTGTCTGGCATTCTCAGCTTTTCTGACTATAGGCGACAAACTATCCGCGTAGTTTACACGTCCTTCAAGCGGCAATAAACAAAGAAAGTTCGTCCAACGGATACCCGAGAAGTACCAAATCTATAATTTTGCAGCTATGTGTTCGCGTAAATCGGCTTAGAGAAAAGCTTCAATATTTCCATGAAAATCTCGGTTTATTGGTGCATGTTATTGCAGCGCCGATGGTTGTATAATTTCAGAAACAGAGGAGCTGAGAAGTTTTCAGGCGCTCGGCAATCGTTGTCTTATGATCATAGCTTGTGTGGGTTGGTGTCGCATAATCCAAAACGGGTCGATTAGGAAGCGAGTTTTCGGCTGTGCAACGGGAACTTCCATCAAAGAATGTATTCAGCACCAAAAGCTGCGTTGGTTAGGTCATGTATTTTGCATGCCGAATCATTGTTTGCCAAAGAGAGGGCTATTCTTCGTACCCAGTCCATAGTAGCAGGAGCAGAGAGGTGGTCAACCATCGATCTGACAGAGGGGTATAAAAGATATTACGAAAGTTTGGGCGCTGCCGGTGATACCCGCCTTCTAGTATGGGGACCGCGTGACTTTCACTGAGCCTCATTGGGGATTCAGCAAGATAAGGCTGCAATATCAACGACGTTCTCGCTGTCAGTTTGTATCCAGATTTCTTGAGTGAGTGTCTGGAAGTGTAGGCACCTGGGAATGATTGTAGTAAGCTAGAACTAAGTCTCTTTCCTGCCCATCCTTATTATTTTCTTTATAACGAAACTTTCAAATTAATCACGGTTGTACGGCAGCAAAACATAGTGTTGAACATTGGTGTCAATCTATCCATTGCAATGATGATGAGCTATGCTAAAAATTCTAAGTTAGTTGTAGCCAAACAAATGAGGCCTCATCCTTAACGTTGTGCACCAAACTGGAGGCATCTGCGGAGGCACCAGCCTAATTTGCCAATGAGTGTTTATCTGGAACTGTGCCATATTCGCTGTTCAGTTAGGAAATAAGGGTGTGTTAATTCGAGAACCAGGCCCAATCGGTGGGGCCAAACAAGAGCAAAGTCTAAATTTGATTTTTCAGCAACCTTGTAGGAATTGGTTTTTGCTCAGGTGGCTTTTGATCTGTCCATCGAGCTCGACAATCGACTTGCAAACGTTTCGTCACCATACGAGGAGACATCATCACTGATCGGTCTAGTGGGCATTTCCTCCTTACCCTCATGCGTTTAAATGACATTTATATGTTATCTTCCAACAGTGTTTTTTGTGAATCCCTCAAATACTCAATCACGACAGAAGGTGACGGGTAGTCTTCAAATGCTATATAAACGCACACAAACAAATAGAAACTACAAACCCAGCTGCTAACTGATGATGTCTCCTCGTATGATGACGAAACATTTGCAAGCCATTTGCCAAGCTCAGGCAAACAGATCAACAGCCACCTGATCAGTAGCTAGAGAACTCACCCGAGCTATCAATATTGCAGCACATTACCAACCTTATAAGAGCCATACCAAGAGAAAACACCTTACGATAATTAATAATTGACGATTCAACATTATTCATTTGTTATTCTCCCATCCATTGATGCGGGGTTTTGTTCCTGTGAATCAGCAGTGTCGAACGTCAGAGAACTAGGATAGTTTGACTTAGATAATTTAAAGTAATTTGGTGATGATGTGGTAGCCTGGCTGTTTTAACTTAATGATTGTTTTGAAAATATATTTAGGAGCCGAAGACCTGGGCCATGCAAGATTCCGTTATTGAAGTTAAGCTAGGGGGCCCGGTACCTTTTTTGGATATCCAGGTTTATCATATCATTGTGACTCACAGGTCCATTCTCTCTCTCTAGTTATTCTTTGGTTGGTGGCACAATAGACAGCATGTTTCGCCTTGCGAAGGCTGCATGAAAATTTTACAACTTTGTGGAACCACGGGAACGTACGCTCAACAATCGATTGAAGCCTATCACAGGTCAGATTGGGTCCCAGATCGCAGATTAAAGGTGAACGCTTCTGAGCTGACCGCACAGCGGTTCAATTATAGGCCCGAATTTCCCCATTGTGATTTGCACATCAGTTGCATAATCATTTTTCTAATAAATGTTGGACGAAAGCACACGAGCAAACTTTGTTTCTTCGAATAATGCCAGTTGGTAAAGTAAATTAGAACTGAGAAGTTTTACCTTATTGAAATTTCATGATTGAGGCCTCTCGGGCTGACCCATCACTGAAGACAATCATCCTAAATTCAAAGACTTTAGAAAGCTGAGCAAGGTTTCTGCCCGGCTAATTTGATTGTTCAGACCAAGAACTTTCTACTCATGCACTGTTTGTCAACGAGTTAGAATGTAAAAACCGAGTACATATACATAACCTCAGTCAAGCGACTACAAGAGATCAGCTGGTACGACTCAGCTGCAGGCATCTGATTTACCCTCCGAAGCACTCAGTCATACTATTAATTGTGCAGATGTTGTCCTCTTCGGCCGCTGTTTGCCAACAACAGTTAGGTGACTGAGCCCCTATGAACAAGAACAATTGCAGCTTTTGGTCTTCCGGAAGGACAACTGCCGTCATCAAAATGCGACCTGCCCCACAGTCTGTTGTCACATATCACTTCTGGCGTCCCAACAACATGTGATCTTGGTGTCTGACAGTTATGGGTTGTCTTATGACTCACAAGGAAGTCATACAGTCACAGTGGAAAAAACATGGATTGTCTCTTCTGGCCCTAATGTGTCCTACATGAATAATGTCCGAACTAACAAATATGATCTGTGATGTATGAAACAGCTGATCAGAAGAAAAGATCTCGACTTTTCAAATCGTTGGTCACATGCGATCGTGGACTTGCCCTATCTTGCCTTCCAGCTAAGCGTAGTGCACCGATCCTATTCTGCTAAGAATGGTCGGCCTATTATACAGTCCCTGCTTCTTGGAGACTTTTCTCCTCGGACTATGCCCCACAAATGCGAATTTTATACAGAATTTTCTGCTGTTTTCAATGAGAAGGACTCTGAAAACAGAGGATCTGAATATTAACCAATAGGTTTTGACCATCCGCATCTGACTAGTCATAACAGCAACCAGTACTAACGAGAGAAATACAGTGTGTTGTGTGTGTGAAGTTAAGTCCTGTGCATCTCTAACAAAAAATTATGGGAAAACTGGGAAAGAACCAGTTGTGAGAGAGAACTGATCTGGAACCCGGAAGGTTTATGATGTTCTTATTCAACTAAGTGTGATGCATCAGGCCTCTTCATGTTTCTGTTTGTACGATATTTGATATTGAGTGCATCACAAGCAAGAGATACAGCTGGGTCCCAAGTGAGTCTCCCACCAAAACAAATTGGTATCTAGGTGGATGTAAGTAGAATTTCGTGCAGTTTGGGTGGGTCCAGGACATAAAGTTCTCAGAAACTCGGGGACCACACCTACCATATGAGCCCCCAAGAATGGCATAACCACTCCTGAGCTATCGAGTTGTTTTTAGCAACCATATGAGTAGTTCTGCACATTGGTGAGGAGACTTGATGGCAAGGGAATATTCGGTTTTTCTCCCGTCATGTTTCTGGTAACCATTTTCCAGTAGCAACCGAGTCAGCCAACTGGACCACTTTATTTTCTCCTTTTAGCGATGTTTAGCAGTACGGAAATAAACGGTTAGCACAATTTCATTCATGCGTTTTTCAAAGTGGTTCGAATAAGATCAGTTTTTTTATTGCAATACGGTTCGCCCTCACGGTAATATATTTTTTCAAGAAAAGAGTAGCTAACCAGGCCACTGCAAAAATGGATCCTGGTAAAGTGTATTTAGTGAGTGTGTGAGTGCTGGACAAATTTATTCGTAACTGAGGGTTAGTTACTGAAATGATTATAGCGGCTCGTGGAAGATTTCGTATGTAGTTAATCTATTAGACTCTCACCGACGCATTGTATTGTACAACTTCTCCAACCCGCAGCTTATCCACGAAAACGGACCTGCTATCAAGATTATAAAAGGCCATTTTGGCTTCAGGTACAACTGCACTGAAAGTCACACACTATCGCCGAAAAGGATTAGTTTAAATGCCTCACAACAACCAGAATTTACGGAGCAGGGGCAAAGACATCTTCTGAATGGAATGGAATTAAGACGCAGTTCAAGTCAAGTTACTATCATACGCGAGTTTGAGCTTCAGCGACCAGCACAAAAGCAAAACTTAGACGACTGTCGCAACCATTGGTACGCTCAAACTACTGATGAACAAGCCGGAGAGATGAGTCAAAGAATCATGTACAATGACCTGCCATCACACGCAAGTTTCCAACGCAAAGAAAATCGACTCTCTTCTAAATCGGCCGAAGCTGCAGATGATGTCAAGGTTGTGCGAGACATGAATGATCATAGAGAGGTCTATTATTTGATAAAACATGAACCACCTGACAGCGATTCAAATCGACAATACGAAAGACTTTGGCAAAAAGTTCCCACGCGAAAGTACTGATTAGTGACGGAGGTAAGCAAAGAGAAAAAGTAAGCGACATAAAGCCTCCGTTTTCCATGTTAATGAGTTTGGACAAAACAGGGATAATCTAATCTGTGGATTGTATCGATGAAGCTGATCATGGGTTTCTGATAACCTGAACTGACTAATCTTGGATCATTTACCGTCCTCGCAAGGGAAGGAATTAACAAAAATTGGATTTCGTTCTGGAAGGGGGGAAGTAGGGGTTAGGTTTGTTGCACTTTCTAGAATAGCTGAAAACGCCACCCCACAGTTGTGAAACTTCTCAACTATGAGATCAGTTTACTCGGATTTCGGACAGCTATAGTACATAGTGGGAACGAAGAAAACCATGGCTTGTTGATGCTCGATTGCGCACTAGTAAACGTTTATTCCGACGAATCCAGCGGGTCTAGGGAATAGATAATATATCTCACGGAAGGTAATCCACTGTGTGACAGGAGTATATTTTTGTTGTCAAACAATCTGCACTATCCTGCTCCCTCTGGAGATGTCAATCTTGATAACTACATGAATAAGCTTTGTTGGTAGCACAAGTTCAAATCACTCGTTGGTCAGTCACCCATGGGCTCTAAGCTAAGGATCAAACACTATCGGCCATCCATATTGCTCTCGCTACCAGCGTAAAGTAGTATTGAATTCAATGTCAAATGTGGATCTACATCTCAACCAGTGATTCTAAACAATACAGAAAGCGACACCCTTCCGTGTTCCGAGCCTGAAAGCGTTTTTTTGTGCAACTGCGTGAAAGCTCCAGAATTTCTCACGGTAACTGGAACCTGGATATTAATGTCCTCTCGATTTGTTGAATCGTAAGCTTCTAAGGATGGGACTACGACAAATAACACAACTGGGGCACATGGCTCAAGGAAATTGTATGAAACTGGGGTTACGCCAACTGACTGCAGATCGACAATTCTTATGGCTAGAGATGACCACAGTTGGTGATGATGTGTTGTTATCCTTCTCAAATGGTCTCATTTAGGAATGATAGAGTACGTGTAGAAAAATTTTTCCCGTATTGTTCAGTTAAAGAAAAAAATTGTTATTGATTCCCGAGGGATGTTGGGAAACTTCATTAGAGTCATTAATCTTGTGGCATATTCGCT